TTTCTTAGTTCATCGTATCTCTGAGACAAAATTCACTGCTCCTGTCATGCTTAACAAAAGAAGTGCCTTTCACTACTTTTTGAGGCAGTTCAGGAAGCAATTATTTATACAAAACCTCATTTTGATAGCCACATATCAAACACCGATAAATGCATTTAAGATTTGTGTATTATACACACTTCCAGTGTGTGTATTATGCATGCATCCACTTGCTGCATCTCCATAAATGTGCATGGCTTGGATGTGGTCCGTCATGGTGCAGGAAGATCCACTTTGGGTAGAGAATGAAAAAAAGAGCCACATGTTGGAGAAGATGTCTGATGAAAGGAGCAAGAAAACTGGAAAGAAATTTAGTCCATTCCTGCATGACTTGTAAGGTTTACAGCATCCTCTGTCACAAAGGGCTGGTCTACACTGGGGGGGGGGGGGGGGGCAGGAATAGGAAAAAGTTTTAGTGCACTGCAGATTATTTATTTTTGAAAAATATGATCTTGTCAACAGCCTTGCGAAGCTGTCTCCAGACTCTCAGGACTCGAGTTTTTTTCATTTTAGAAGGCTTAACTTTCAGTCTTCTGGTGTCAAGAGAGCCTAACATTACTTGCAAAAAGGAGGCATAAACAACTGAGGAATGAGCTATCCACAGCAATGTATAGAAGCACAAATATTTCTCCACAATATCTATTCAGTACAAAATTCTAGTTGGGCAATTTAGATATACACCCCACTGGTTTGTTTGATTAATTTTAGTTTTGTAAGGCGATTAAGGAGGCCTCTGAAGATAGGACACCCTGAAGATGGAAGGAATAAGATTTCAGAAAAATAAGATGGAGACCATTTAAAAAAAAATCTATTTCATATGCAGAAATTAAGTTCTATAAACAGAATTTAATTAAACCATAGTGACAAGGATGGCAATTGAAGGTATAAGAGCAAATAAAAACCTTATTAGCTTGGACTAGACTGGTGGCATCAAGTTGCTCTTTATCTTCGTTTTTGGAAGTCTGAATGGAAACCAGGGACTTTTATAAGCAAGGACATCTGTGGGATAAGTCTTAGAATGAATTTATTTGTGAGAAAAGAAATGAAGAAAACAAAGCCATTCAGCTGGAAATAAACACTCTTCTGATCTTTAACAAGAAGGGGCACTGGGATTATAAATCAGTAGATTTCCCCTTTTTAGTATATGGTTCACACAGCAAGCCCTAGTTTACATGGACAGTTTAAGAGCCCTCCAGACAGGGCCACTTCCTTTCACAGTCTAATTAAAGGAGAAATTTTGTATCATATTCCACTTTGGACTGGAGAAAAAAAAAGACAAAATAAAAATCAGTTTAAGATGTGGGGAGTAGACTGGTGAAACCAGGCAGAAATCATATGCTGGGCCTACATGAAGATACCGTTGGAAACATAAATTAAGCAGTGCACCGGGGAGAGAGCTACAAGAGGCTAGACTAAGTTACAATGCAATTGCAAGGAAGTGTTGGGAATAACGCTTTCTACCCAGGGAAGAAAGTCAGTTTTCATAACAAACTAAGGCTCTGATCCTGCAAGGAACCCTATTCATAGAGCTACTGGCCGGATCAGAGCCCAAGACATATACAATGTAATACATTAAACTATCTGCACCTTTGATCAAGATTTAGTTGGGAGCTCCTCCTTTAATAAGGATTTAGTAGAAAGCTCTGTTAAACTGGTTCCTATATAAAAATCCTAATCTAATCACAAAACTTAATTCCCACCACCACTAAAATAATGTCCACCCCCAAAATATAACAGAGAAAAGTATTGTTGAAATTTCTTGTTTTTTGTTTCCTATTGCAGACCTTTCACCTGACATTAGTGGTAAGATTTTTCAATACTACTTCACCCTAGCATCACAACTGCTTAAGTGAACTGAAATTAAAAGAGTTTTAAAACAAATAAAAATACCAAAATGTTTACAGACTTTTTTTTTTTTAAATGAAAGCTTGCCCTCTGTCTTCATCTTGGATAGGAATCCACCAGATCAGGAACAAAACTATATTTAAAACACTTATTTTATCTAATATGCTCAAAGAAAAAAAGAATAGAAACACTGGCTGGAGCTAGGCAAAGGATGTGATGTGCAAGTTTTCAACGTATCAACGTACCTCACTCTTGATGTGCAGTCAACTTGCTATTTCTGTCCTGGCCCTCCAACTATGCCACAGCTGAGGCTGGTTTTGTTATGTTGATAAACATCTACTAGGGACCAGGCTGAGACAGCCGAACATCTTACTTCTGATATAAGACAGGAATGCATGTCCAAGTTGATAGCTTGTGTATTAACACATTGTGCTACTGATCCCTGGTTTAAAATAAATTGGAGAGCTTAAGGACCTCCATTTCATCCATCTTGCATACTCAGCTTATTCCCCCTTACAAAGCCCTTCATTCAGATTTGGCTACTCTGACATTTGTAAGGTTTATGGAGGCATGTTTGTGTTCCTTTCCTCAGCTGCCTCCCCTCCCCAAAATATGTAAGCCTGCAGATGTGGCTGTTTGAGAAGTTACATACAGGTTGGTACCTCGTTATGATCGTCTGTTGGTCCAGAAACACAAACTGATACCCAAGACAATGACAGGAAGTGTGTCCTCACAATTTGGTCAGCCAAGCATAATCTTGTACACGGGTATTTATTAAATTTTTATTATCATTATTAATTTTGATGTCACTGTACTAGTGAAAAGACAAGTAGACCTGGCTAAAAAATTTCGAATGAAAAGTTTATTTCGAAAAAGATTTGACCTAAAGTTTGCAACAAGCTGTCAAAAAGTCTTTCCAACATTTTACTTATTGTTTTTTCAAAATAGATTTTTAAAAATAAAATTTACGATTTAATCTCACCATGAAACTAAACTACCCAGTCAAAACAAAAAGTTTACATTTTTTGGCCCTGCTCCATCTTTATTCCATTTTTTTCTTATTTATGTAACTTGTGACTGAAGATTGCCAAGAATGGACATTAATTGAATATACAGGTAGACCCCTCCCCTCCCGCATAGGGACCTAGGCCACAGATCGATCCAAGTGGCGGCCAAGCCACATACCTTTGGGATAGTTCATGATGAACTTTTGACTGATCAGTTTTGTTGTGTGATGGTTTCGAAATTTTTTTTTAAAAGCCCATTTAATTTTTTTTCTAAATTTCTTATTCTGAAAACAAAAAGTGGTAGTTTTTTCACAACCCTGAACGACATACGTTACGTCAATTTAAGCGGTAGTTTAGACAAGCCCTGAGCCAGCCTTTCCTCTAACTCCAAGGGGAATCAGATGGGACTCCAAATATCCATCTATATTGGTCTATACACAAATTGGGAACCACATTTGCAGTAAAGATGGGCCCAACCAAACCCCTAAATTCCAGCACCTACAAACCTTGGAACAATTGAGCCAAACTTCAGCTGTTTATACATGTTCCCGATAAAACAGCAACTCAGTTATCAGCTAGTATGAATGAGGCCAAATCATGTTCCAGCCTATGGTTTCAACTGGAGTGAGTTTGCTTAGGTCTAGGCTAGAACATGATTTTAAAATATAGTTCTAACAGTTTGCCTCCTTCACAATGACCATCCATTTACAGTAGTAAATTAAAAAATTTGGTCCCTGCATTTATGTGGCAGTGAACACTAATGTCATTTAAACAACTGATCTTATGGTCACACTACCCACCCTACTCTGCTTATTTGTCTCATTCACCTATTATGTCTTGTCTTGTATACTAGAAGATCTTGGGGATAGGAATTGTCATCTATGTTTGTACAAGGCCCAGCAGAACTGGTTATGTCCTTTTGGTGCTCCACAATATAAGCATTTAATAATAAAACAAGCCAATCTTAAAAAAAAACCAGAGCTCAGATCCGCTATGAAAATTTAAGCATAGAGAAAAGAATGCCTATAGTTCAACAAAAAAAATGCAGGAACGTGGTCAATCAACTCATGCAGGTACTAAATTTTACTTCTCTCTAAAAAAGCAAATCTGGGGACTTGGAAAAGTGAACTGATTTCTGTTTTAATCCATCTTAAAACATATTATACACTCCAGGCTGCACTTCTCCACATCACATTAAGCCACATGTTTGTTTTTCATGGTAGAGAATATCTAACATGCATTTCTAATACACCTTATCACCAGGTTATCCAAGCACTGACCACACTTAATTAGTCCCAGACTCAACAACATCCCTTAACAAAAATTTTTTTGCCCAACCAATTTTATAAATTTCAATCTTATCTTTAGCTGTTGTAATCTTTTTGCATACAGCTGTGCAATGACACTCCTCTATAGCAAAATCTGTAAAACAATGCAGTGTTTTCGTAGCCTTGTTGGTCCCAGGATATTAGAGACAAGGTGGAACAGGTAATATCTTTTATTGAACCAACTGCTGTTGGTGAGACAGGCTGAAGAAGAGCTCTGTGTAAGTTCAAAAGCTTGTCTCTCACCAACAGAAGTGGGTCCAATAGAAGATATCACCTCACCCACCTTGTTTCTGTAAAGCACTGAATCTTCTTCTGTGCAGCTGTCCTAAGATAATCACAACTCCACACTAATCCTCATTAGGGAGGAGAGGATCATAGCAAGGATAGGAATGGATAATAACAATAGCCTATAACAAGAAAAAACAGCAATTCCATTCTCTATCAATTGAATATTCAAGACCAGAACAATCCAATGTAAAGACAATACATCAAGTATACACTTGTATCATAATATCTAAGGATACCCATCACTATAGTATATAAAGTGCTTTAAGTTGTGCTGCTAGTGCTAAAATTTGGAGACAAATTCACATACAGAAATCAGGAATTAGTTACACCTTCCCACCCCCCACGTATTACGTACATGCCACACACACGGCTGTAAACTACCGCTTCTAAATATTGCTCCTGAAAGTCAGTAATGGTGACAGAATGGTACTAAAAGCTAACCGATCTCAGTTTGTAGTACGGCCCATCTCAGTCAATACAGTACACATTTTAATATCTATAAATCTTTATTTCACAAACTTAAGAAGAAAACATGGTAACATTGGCAAATTGAAGGCATATATACTAAATACAAATGCAGAATACATTGTTTTGTATAAAGCAAATGCCCAGATCCTTTGTGGAACTTGCAAAACTAAAAGCACATTATTTCTCCAAAGGCTTTAAATTAATGTCGGATTGCCAGCCTCGGAAGTCCCACTGATTACTGATTTTTGCCTTTCAAACTGGAACCAGGCGTCAGTCTAATTGAAACACAATTTTGGATTCCTCCTCTGCTTCCAAGGCTCAGATCCAACTGGAAGGGAAGCTGAGAAAAGATACTATTTTCCCCCTACTCAGACTGTAAAGTCAAATCTATGACACAACTATGCACTTAAAACTCAGACATTTCTTGAAGCCTTTTCCATTTTAACAATAGAATATGTGGTTAAGTACGAAGGGAAAGGGCTTTTTGCATAGAACTAGAACTGTTACTCTCATTCAACCCAATCACTGCTAGGGTGATCAGTCATGTTTCAAATGCACACAGAAATAAATAAAATTTAGGAAGAATGCATGGAAAGGCCTTTTTAAAATCAGTTTTCTGTTTTCCTGATTGTTAAAAGCTATGGAACATTCCAATTCTCTCTAGAGCAGTTATGCCAAGTGATAATATTCCAAGCAGTGGTGTCATTATCAAAGTTGTGGGCCACTTTGTAAGCAAATATAATGCTTGTGATGCCAGACTGAAAGAGATGGCAATAAAATTATCTTATTCTTTCTCAACACAGGGGGTAGAGCGGGTGGGGATGGGACAAGCTTCCCACACTGCTCTGCCAGTTACCTCAAACTGGAATTGAAGGTACCACTTCTAAGGGTCAGAAGACAGTTCAGTGTCCATCCTTTTGGGTGGTGCAAATTAGTGTCATTCTGTGACTTCCTGATGTTGACACCTGCCCACTATTAACTGGATCACCAATTCATTTCATGTTGACCGAACAACCTTCAGATAGTCATGATTGGCCTAAGCTGGATTTGAACTGGCAATCTAGAGGGGAAATGCTCCATATCCCAGTTAGCAGTTTCATACTTTTCATTTGTATTAACCAATGGGAAAACAAAGGCTTTTTTTTTGTTCAAGCAAACTTTAGCAGATGAAACATGGAAGAGGTGCAGGTTTTAAAAGCAAATCTACATTAAACTAGTAAGAATAGGTTGTAACAAACTGAATATTTAATGATACACATTTTAAAATAGTTTGGAAACACTCATGAAACACTATGTAATTTTTACATGTATAAGTTACTTGGGTATGTTGTCATGCATATGTCCCCATTTCCTGAAATTCACCTTAATGTAAATACATATTTACCTGAAAGAAGTGAAGCAGAGAGAGAGAGAGAGAGAGAGATTTTGTGAAGTGGAGTTTTGACCAAACATTAACTGTTCCTTTGTTGCCAATTCAGTCTATCCTTTAAAATCTTGGTTCATGACCTGTGTATATGATAGACTTGTTAGGGCTCTTTTGCAGCAATAACTGTCTGTTGTGGCATTCTAGCTACCAAACAAACACACGAAGTGCACACGATTAAAATTACACATATTATTCACTGGAAAGAGGAAATGCACATAACTTAACATGTTGCTTATCCACAGTGGAGTCACAGCGAGTCATTTTTTAATCTTTTCCCTCCAAAAAAATCTGTTCATATTCTAGCACTATATGCAAAATTCTCAGTTTAAAATTCAAAAGCATTAGAAAAGCACAACGATTCTAAACCCATGACATTTCCTTTAGTTTCTATAACAAATACAAACTATTTCTTCAAAAATACTATTAAACCGAAGGATACTCCCCAGGTGAGAGCTTATATACCAAGTTTCAGCCTAGACTGAATGATTTTGGCCACACTACAAATCTCTGAAAATGGGGATGACAATGGGAAATAAATTTAACCACAGTAAGGGTGCCACAAAATATTCTGTAAGCGACTTGTCCTACTATTGTTCTGCACTCAGAACTCTCATTGAAGTCACTAGGAAATCTGCGTGCAACTCAATGGCAGATACAGCCCTGTATCAATTAGGGTCAGGAACCTTTTAAGTGAAAAATAAAGCACTTCCAACTGGAGAAAAATGCAAAGGCACCCGGCTTCCATAGCTAAGTATTATGCAAGTTTAGGCGTAGGGAAACAACTTCTAGTGGAAGGAAAAGAATTACATATACTGGTAATTAATTCACACAGACCAGGAGAGTAATCCTGTCAAGCTGAAACAGTTGAAGATCTTCCAACTGTAAAAGCTGGGAAGCATGGAATACACAAGAAATAAGAGACCCACTTCAGTATTCTGCTTAATGGCCAAGCCCTTCATACAAAATCACATATTAAAAAAAAGATCTTTTAAACCACTTAGTCACCAGAATGAACTAGTCAAATGTTCCCAGACCCGAGCACACTGACCTTTTGACAGTTACCAAATGTACTCAACACTGACCTAGTTATTACAGGATAAAATTAAGAGCAGACAGAGCTGAATAAATTCTTAGAAATGTCCAGCAAACCCAGCTGAACCCTAACAACAGATTTTTTATTTTAAATTAAACATAGCAGTTCATAACCCTTTCTACTACAGCAAGCAACTCATCCTTTGAGCATAGGAACTCTCATTGAGAAACAAGCAGAAAAACTACTGAGGGGCACACTCAGTAGTAGATACACTTTTTTAATTGGGGCCATTAAATTAGAAATGTCTAACACTATTTTCATTTATTGAAGAGTTAAGGATTTAAATGCAAAAGCAGCAGACAAGCATTACAGTGAGATGTAAGCTCTATGTACTACATTTCTTGATGTGAGGGGGAAATAGGTGTCAATTGAAGAGCTGAAATGATCTGACTTATATTTGGCCAATCAATGTAAACGGGCAAGAGGAAGCACAATGAATGGTGTCATCTCTGGGGCACAGAGATGACAATTACTTTAAAATTCAGGTTGGTGTCCACTTTCCCAGGGATTCATACATTAGCCATTCAGCTGAGGCAAGGCACTGTAGCAGTAGTCAACAATGTGGTTTGGAGGGACATGAAATAAAAATAGGACTCAAAGTTAAAAATCATTGATCACATCAAGTTAGGAAGATCATAAAAAACTTAGGGACAAGCAATTTGTGCAGATATATGATGACTATAATGCCCTTTTCCACAGGTAGCTTACTTGGGGCTGTGTATTGAATCAGGGCAGAAATGGACTACGGTTTTGACATTCTTGGAGCAAGCTGTGAAAGGGACGTCAGCTTGTCAATGGACAGGCAAGCAGTGCTCTTAAGACAACCATGAGCAGAACACAGCTGGTAAAACAAAATCTTGAAAAAGCATATACTCCTATTTGTTAGTTTAAAGCAGAGTTTATGGTCAGAACATTTTATACCTTTGTCAGAATTGTACAGAAACAAGAGATGCAGCAATAAAACATTCTGTTCTACCTTCCATACGATCAACAAAATTGCTGTCACTACCAGGTTCTTTATTGTCTGGAATGGTTGATAATGTCAGAGGTAGAATGAGTGGTGGGGCGGGGGCAGATGAGATTTGATGTTGAGGTCATTGACAGGGAACAAATACGAAACACCATAGAGATTTTGCTGTCACTTTGACAACTCCTGAGGCACATCTTTATTACAACTATTTAAACCACAGCTGTGCACGCATCACCATATTAGACTGAGTGGGCAAAATTCTGCTCTCTTCATAGGTGTAAAACAGGAATAACTACTGAAGTCAATGGGGTTCATATGGATTTACACCCGTGTAACAGCTGAATTTGGTTTCATCGCCCTGGCAAGTTAGAGACCTCTCAAAGCAGGTTGGCTGACTTTTCAGGAGCACAGAAAGGTAGGGACAACATATTATTAATCTGAAGACATCTATCACTCTCTGATAAATGCAATATATAACTGGCAGAAACAATGTTTAATATAAATAAGGCAAAGAATGACATTTTATTCTTTAACCAGGATATCATGTAATTATTAATACAGCATTCTGGGTTGCCTCTCCATGGCTCCAGTTTCAATTAGAAGCTTCTGCTTAGAATTTCTAGCAGATATTGCTGTAGTGAAAGGTCATTATGAGGTCCATTGAGTTACATGGCCCAAACTAATGGATAAGTGTTTTCAGTTAAACATATTAAATACCTGAAAACCCAATCAGTTGTATCTCATCGATTCTGAAGGTTCACATCACGTTTTTATTGTTACTCTGGACATCAAAGAATTCTGGAGACCGTCTGTCTGAATATTAAAAAATAAGTTATTCCTCCTTTGATGCTACTTGAAGGTAAAGAAAAAGCTTCAACTGTTCATTCAGTTCGCTGCTGATGTACTATGAACATTAAACAAATCTGACACACACCTGACTGGATACTGACATCTTTACATTCAGTGGAATGTGTTTCACTTAACATTATCCAGACAGCAACAGAGCCAAATCTGCATAAACATGTCCAAGCTGTTTTGGTTATGTGCACCTCTTATAGAGATGGACATGAATAACACTGACCTACTAAAACACAGGCATTTGCAAGGCACATACTAAAATGCAATACAAATAAATCTACCATACATTGTTTGGCATTTGGAGTACATTTAGATATACTAAACAGAACAAAAAAATCAAGTCAAACAGCAAGAAGCTTGCGCTCTACAATGTGTAACAGAACTGGCCCTTTCAGGGTGAAGTATGACTTGGAACCATACTGAAGTGTATTATTTCTATCCAGAAAGGTTACATAAGTCATTCTTCCAATTAGCAAAAGGAGAGATTTGTTGTTTCCGCCTTTCTGAACATTCTGTTACTGTGTACCAGGGTTCAGTTTGTTTTATTTCTTGCATCCCTTTCTTGAATATCCTTTCATTGTGTCAGAAGAACAGTATTTTATTTGTAAAGGCTCAGATGTGTCTCTAGGAAATTTCTTTATGGAGCCTCATACCTCTTTCCAGATCTGACTCCAATACTTGTGTACCATCAACACCAAGTAAAACTTCAGATAAAAAACAAAAACAAAAAACAACCAAATAACCAAAAAAACAAAACCCACCAAAACAGACAGATCGCGCCAAGAAGCAATCTGTAGATTTCTTCATTTCTAATGAAGGTCTGTGTTTATTATTTTAAAACTTCCATCTCTGCAGATTCTTAATGGTTCTGTCATGTTGCCTAATTAGATATATTTGAAAAAACTGGAGTTCCTTCTTTATGGATGTTTACATGATCAATATTATTACAATTAATGACAGACAGATTTCCAGGCAAGTAAAGTTCAGACACCACTTTGCAGAAAAATAGCTAAAATGAGCCCTTGGCTCAAACTATGTTAAAGAAATAGGTTACTAGTGAATTTAGAATGAGGAGTGCTATCTTTTTAATTATAATTTTTTTTCAATCTTAATGTAATAAATAAAATGATGCAACTGTAAATAGACAACTTAAATTCATAAGGAAAAGAGAACAGCCTCCCGTAGCATAAATGTGCAGAAATGGGATTTCAGCAGTTTGTGAAAGTGATAGTGTACATTTCCCACTTCTTTCTATTCAAATCTTATGAAGATTTTTTTATTTGAAGTCTCTTCTGCAACCGTTTTCTCTTGGTTGCCGAGGATCTTCAAGCCTGTTTACTCACAGCCTGAGAATTTTTAGCTACTTGCCTAACATTAGCCTCCCAATCAGAGAGGAAGTAGTCACCAGAAACAGCTTCTCTGGAAACTTCTCCAAGTGTCCTCTCTATGGACTAAATGGTTATTTACCAGACATTTAATAAACCCTTCCCTTTGCCCCCGTCACTCAAGACATTTGTTTTATTCCTTCCACTACAGACACTGATCAGAATTTAAGAGTTAGTTGAGCTTTATAATATCGGAGTTAAGAGGTGCGAGGTTTGTTTAAATGCCAGAGGCATGCTGAAATGCCCCCTCTTCAGATTGGTTACATTCTTCAGGACGCTAGCTATTCTGACTGGCTATATAGTTTTGATCTGAATCAGTGTTTTTTTCATTCCTGATAGCACTAATAGTTGCCAAGCACAGTTGCATTCACTGAGCTGTTAACATCTATTCATTCAAACTGTCCATAAGAGTTATAGGCACACAATAGGAATAACAGAATCATTGTTTCGAACAGGGCTGTTGGTAGGTTAAGTGTATTTATAAAGGTGGTCATTAAATGAAAGCTTCAGCTCAACATTAAAGAGAGGCTCTTTCCTGTTGCTAACTATGTAGGGAAGTAAGAGGCAGGAACACAATGGTAGGGTGAAAGCCTTCCCTTGGTTTGACAAGTACAGGATTACAAAAATCATTTTAACAATACATGTCTGTTTGCCACTAGAAATCCTTCTGAGTTCCTACTGTTTTGCACAGTGCCCTGGAGCTCCAGGGTCTACCAACTCAAGGATATTTAAGGCACTTGCTTGAGCTCTTTTGCCCAGAGAGTTTTGCCACATGAACTGAGGTGCATTTTAGGAGAATACAATCTGAGCAGACCAAAGCTTTTCATTCTTTCCTCAGGAGCATTAGTCTTTGTGATACAATATTCCAGATTGGAACAGGATTACATAAAAATAAATCCCACTGCAGTTCTCTTCGTAGCGTGTTTTGCTTTCTTTCAGTCAGACCAGTATCTGCAAGATCCAAAGAAAAGTGTACACGGAACACTGCAAAACTGGACATCCCATTACTGACAATTATCTTCTCTGTAGAGGGAGATATCCCACTGGCATAATTCCACCATTGTAATCAGAGATACTGTATGCTTGTATTGCTGTAAAGGAAAGGTCGGCATTTCTCCGTGTGCTATGCAGGCAAAGGAAGAAGAGGATAGAGACAAGTTCTACAAGGATAAATTCTTGATTAATCTCATTAGTTATAATGGAAGCACAGAAAATTATATGAAATATAACTCCATGTAAGTACAGTATACTCTTCAAGCCAGGAATTGTATGTGCTAGTCCTTATAATCCATTAGATAAAGTTGGAAGCCACGTTACTGTGTGTCAGAGGTAGGCTTAAACAGAGCTTTACACTGAAGAGTTCTTCTGCGCCAGGTTTGTCCAGGTGTTGAGAGCACTCTGCAGTCAAGTAAGCCTGACAGAATAAAAGCTCCTTTCCCTTGAATATTGTGCACATTAGAGAGGAGGAAAAATAATTAAGGCAGTAACTTCAGTTACTATTAAGATTTTTACTGTATTGGGGTGTAGTGGGTAGAATATTCACCCAGACTCTGTGGTTTCTGATAGTAGAGAAAATTCATTTTGATGCTGTTTCATCCTTTCCCTTCTCATAGTTTTAGCTGTACATTCAATTTTGTATATGCTACAGCATTATACACCTCAGTCTCTCTTAAGGAAATACAAAAACTTCAGGAAGTCTGGATGTAAAGGCAGTTCCTAGAAGGCCAGTCTTATTAGGCTACGTAATTAATTTGGATAACTCAATACCATGGGATATACCTAGCACACTGGTAAAAAGTTCTTGCTTCTAACCTGTGTTCCAAGGTTTGTTGGCTGAAACAGTTTGAGACAATCCATGATAGCGTCACTGAAGGTTGAGGGACATGAATGTTGCCAGATTTCAGTGAATCTGGGATTAGCATTTCAGTCACGTTTCTGTCTGGCAGCTAGTGATGATTCCACTCTGCAAATCTTTTGGATTAACAAGGTTTCAAGTTTCAAAGTATTTGTAAATTGCTGTAACATACAGCATGACATTCTGCCAGTCTGGACGCTCAGTTCGCACCATTTCATTGATGTCCTGTCACAAAAAGAAGATCAAAATTAAAAATGACCACCTTGCAAGTTCATGTCAATGTAGTGCTCATCAAAGCTGTAAAGCTCCCACTCTGAGAAAGGCTTAAGGAAAGATCTCCATTTTGCTCAGCATGTCATTTGCCAAGTTCAGACGGTGAAAGGTACTTCACAACTTAAAAGTTTAAAAACAGTTATTTCTGGGCCATCTGCTAAGGGCTACCATCTCAGTGAAAAGCAACATTAATTTTGTGACCTGCAGTTAATGAGTCCAATATCAGAGTATACCTCAGCTTTCTTCTCATTTAATGCTAACAATAGAAACAGTCAAGTATTGAAAGACTAGAGCCCAAGTGCTGCAGTGAATGGCATGCATGCAGACTTCCACTCTGCACATGCACTTTCCACAACAGGATCAAGGTCTAGCTTTGTAACTGAAACATCACTGCATAAACTTGCTCTTTAACAGTCAACCGTTTTACTTGGCATGGTCAAGTGTCACTTTACAACAGTATCGTGCAGTGGTGGGCAACCTGCGGGAGCACCCGGCCCGTTAGGTTGCCCACCGCTAGTGATTTCCAAGGTAGACATTTAACTAGGAAAAATTAGCATTTATTACCAAATCTAGTAAAATATGTACTCTGAAGGAGAGGCAAAATGTGAGGAGTTAATGCCTACCTAACAAAGCTATGAACTGATCTCTACCTATTCTAATTATTTATATTGCACCGTAAGTGCGTAACCGGATTTACAAACAAGTAAAATGGATGTATCTTGCTGCACAATCTACGCATGGAACCTATACACAAAGGAAGGGAAAGAATTCAATATATGTTTTTTAAACCTTCCTTATTTTTTGTGACTATTTCTTAAACCTTACCTACATTCATTTTTAATAGAGAGTTCAAACAGAGGCAGCAATTATTGTGATAGAGTTCACTTTATGAAAGAAGCTGTGAGTAGTCAAAACACTATGGTCAAGGAACAGCTGAAATAATTTCCCCTAATGTTACCCTCATTAACATTTCTATACACAATGACCATTTGCCACACAAAACACACAGTGTATACTGCATGTACTGCTAATAAACTTTCCCTATGAAAGATACGATTTCCTCTTATAAGATTTAATTCAGTTTGGAAGTACCTGAGCCTATGAAAGTGTCTGCATGTGTAGTGATTAAATTTTAAGACAGTTTTTGGTCAGCCAGTTCCAGGTATCTTGTAAAGTCCTCTTTCTAGTACTGTTATGTACTGTAATGTCAAAGGAGAGGAAACTGCCATTTTACTGGAGCTAACTGCATGTAGGCATTTCTACAGCTGCTCTCAATAGTCTATTTTTACATCTGCATTTGGTAAAAAACTTCACATTTCAAAATCACTAGCTTCTGAGGTATTTAAAAATACTCAGCAGTTGTATCTCCATTGTGAACAAATACAATGGTTGGTCAGAGGTTTTGATAAGGATCAAGGAAAGTGTTATTTTTAAATGTCTGACTATATAGCATTGTGAGTCGCTAACTCAATGGCGGCTTTGCTAGAATTCAAGTTACACAAGTCCTAATTAGTTATTTAAATCCTTTTTCTGGTCCTGGCAATTCTAGCTGAATTGCTGCAGACATCTACCAGGGCTTGGGTTTCTTCCAATTCCATGGCTTCAGAAAAGTCTTCCTTTTCTGGTAATTATGTTCATAATGACAATTAGTAATTCTTTTCAACTCTGCTCAGGAATTTCTTCTTGTAGGAATTACAAAGCCTCTTAACTATTGTTAGTTAGAGAAACAGTTTCACAGTTAAAAACTTAATTCATTACAGAGCTAGTATCAAATTTTCTATTAATGTTGCCAGTGCTCAATTATGAAGAAAAAGAAAGCCTCTCTATCCAACAATATTTTGGACCATTTGCTGGTCTAACAGATGGACCACAGAAATCATGACCTTCACACTTTATTGAATAAGAAACCAACTTCCATGGGTTTGATTTGTAGCTTCAGAATTCTAATAAATTCAAACCATCTGAAATGTAAACACAAATCTAGAATGTACGTTGTACCCACAGTTCCTTAAGCCACCCGCACAGACACATACCAGGCTGTGTAAAAAGCCTGGTATGTCTGCCCTGCAGACTTTCCAGGCCAGAATATCTGCGAGCAGTTAACCTGGACTCTACTTTAGCTTGGCTGTATTGTTTTGAATATTAATGGTTTCTTTATATGCTATAGTTTGTCACAAGACAAAATACCTGCCCTGTCAAGGAAGAAGCCAAGAAATACAACAAAAAATTCAGGAGAGCAGTAATGTCTGCATGGAGAAGTAGCCTTCATACAAAATATACAACCATTTTTCAAATCACTCTGGGGCAAATGAACCTTCCTCATTGTATTGCTTCAGGCCCAAAACACAGTAATCTTTCTGTCACAGAACTTCATGGTGCAAGGTATAAAAGACATTTTATAAACAGGACATTATCCACTTAAATTAACACTTACCAGAGTAGATTTGATGCCAACACTTTCAGCTGCCTGAAAGGCCAGAGTGAAGTTTCTTCTCTGTAAATGTAAGGCAACATTTATATGAAAACAGAAGGAAAACTACTTAAAATGTAAACGGACTTGCTGCTTGAAAACATTTCTAATAAAACCCTGTATTGACTTCAGCTACGGTTTAGAACTAAACCACATTTATAAAGATGTGTCTCAGGCATCATTCTGTACAAGGGATATATGAATGCCTGTAGGAAGTATTTACTACCTCCTGGATTGGCGTAAAGATTTTTCAACAATGCTAGAATAGACAGTGATAACTGGGGACTATAATTTGCCACAGATAAAATACAAAAAGACCCAAAAGCCAAAGCATCAAATGATAAGTAGGGAAAGGATTTTGTTAATTCTGGAGAGGGATATGTTTTTACATCTGTATGTATAAGAAAGATGCCGCTAAAAGGGATTGCATTTTAAATTAAATGTTATCAAATAAGGAGAATAAGTGACTATTGAGCAAAGTTTGGGAAATAGTACGTTTAATAAGATTCTAAACTTCAACCATTAGAGGAACTGTTCATATAAGAGGTAACTATAACTTTTAAAACTTCATTTGATAAAAGTACAATAGATTTGCAATGGTAATCAATAAGAGGCCCTTGTAGCCACTTTTATAGAGGTGGTGGAGATGCATTCAGGGGAAGTATATACCTTTATTAATCTATTCTAGGTAATCCTATAGCACTCCTCAGAGTAGTAACAGATACCATGTGAAATAAATCTTTATGCCAATGTCCAATGCACCTCATGGGGGATTCTTCTCTTAGCTCTTACCAGCCTTAGTGTTCATGTAAAACCAAAGATATAACTTTAATATCCATATGGATATGTGATAAACATTAAATTGAATTTCAAGTAAAATATAGATCTACACAAGTAAAAATCTGCAGCACTAAGTCTTAGAATAAATAGAGGACTGTAAAGAGGATATTTAAAGAGAAAAAAAGGAAAACATAAGATATTACGAAACAATGATTATTTAATATATACCAATAGACTGAACAATAAGAATCAGGGGATCCATTAAGGCAAAAAATTAGTTATTTGTCCACAAAAATGGCAAAAGTAATACATTATCTCTTTGTGTGTGTGTTAAGAATTTTTTTTTGCATTTGTTACGGAGATTATTAACAATGCATCTCTGGAAGATGTCTCTGTGGGTACTAATTACAACACACTGGAAGAAATTGAGATTATTCTTTTTCCCAATTTATCTTTAACTTTTTATCCTTTAAAACACTGATTTTAAATTTTGCTCTGGAGGAACGCAATAAACACCCTGAGCAATATGGGATGGAAGCATGTTCAACAAAAAAATATCCTCCTATCACCCAAAAAAGGGAATAAACTACTCCAAAGCACACAAGTTCCTGAATTTCAGACCTTTAACATTAAATGACAGGGAACATTTTGGTTAAAGACTACTGAATGCGATCACCTCAACTGAAAGCCCTTTCCACCCACCATTTGTTATCTCCTCACCTTAAATTTATGTTCGCTCATTAAAGTCTTCTTACATTTGTCCCAAAGTTCTTGTTCGTCCAATGGCCTCAAATAATTGATAAACCTTAATTTTATAACCACCCTTACCTAATTTAAGTAATATAGTCATGCTCCCTTTTAAAATTTTAATGCAAGGAAGTAATCCCAATTTTGTCTCTCTCCTGTTGCATGCCCATCCATTCTATGTATTTTTGTATCTGCCCTAAGTTTTTTTTTTTTAAGCTTAACTATATTTTCAGTTTGCATAGGCTAAACTGGATATTATAATACTGTACCTTGTCCTGGCTGTTCAGTTCTTGATACGGAATGTGAGCTGGGAGGTAAGTATGGAGGACTGCACAGAAGGCCAACCCATCATTCCAACTGCTGCTGAAGTTTGTGATGTCAATATTCTTTAAGGGAAAAAAGGAGTCTATAAATGATAGTAGATTACTATTTAATACTGCTTTAGAATTTGACTGAAGTGATTAGAAAAATAATATTATTTATGTTGTACCTTTTACCAAAGGAATGCCAAAGCACTTTAGAAATGGAGATGCAATTGAAAACTACTTCAGCTTCAGTGCTGAAATGGTCAGAGATCAGAATCCAACACTACTGAGGGTGAGAAATAGACCAGCACAGGAAAGACAGATTAGTTCTGGAAATTAATTTGCCTTCTTATCCACAAAAGATACATGATACACATTAGCGAATGCTTTTGTCTTCCTTTTAGATAGTAATGTTTAAGTGAAGAACATGTTAAGACACAAGCAGAAACAAATTATAGATACATACTTCTGGTCTCGTTTTGGAACTCCTAAAATATGCCAAGCTGCTATGATGTGTTTTCAAAGCATGGGAAGATCAGATTTTCTCATATTCTACTGTATTACTAATTACGCAAAAGGACTAATCAATGAGCACAGATATTTCCTTTCCAAATAAGGTGATAATTTTCATTAGAGGTAGCTGATACAAAATATTATACAAACTCAATACTAATTCTTGTTCAAAGATGAGCCACTGGAATACCCGGACACGAAACATGGCAGGGAACCAGTTCTTTGAGTAAGACTGAAAAGTAAAATCCTTATTTCTGCACTCTGCCATCCCACACACCCCATATCTTTCTGTCCCAATCAGGAGCTAAGTGGAACAATTAAACAATTCCCTTTATTCCACAAGAGTTTGTACACAAAGTTGTTGAAAAGAGTCAATGGCCTCTGCCAAAGGAAGTTAGGAACAAGATGCCTGAGTGACCTTTCTAAATCACTGTGCACTTGGCTGCTGTCAGGAAAATAACGGTAAAGAGGTTACTGCCACCCAAATGGATGGCAGTGAGTTTAGATTCTTTTATTTAAGAACCAGTTGGAAACTGCATCTACCGACCTATCATTTGAGACCTATATGAAGAAATGTAAACTTCTATATGTCAAATGAACCCCGCCCTTAACTGGACTAGACAGCTCTGCTATTGCTTTATATTTGATATTACACTAAAACTGAAACAATCTGCAGTCACAGAATCCAAGAAACAGCAGATAAATCAACCTTTTTCCTCACAACAGTAATACCAATCACACCCCTTCACAAAAGACATTCTAATCACTCCCTCTTATTTAATCTCGATCAGAAAAGAATGTACAATACCAAACAGGATAAAAACTAAAGACAATGCAACTTAAATCATGCAAGACAGTTTCTTGTCAAACCAATGAAGATTTTGCATTACAAATGCAAAGTAACAAACGCTGCTTTTCCGTGCCCTACTGACCCCCCCCCAAATCTTCATTTCCTACCCGGTGTCAGCTCTTTTTATACAAACCCCACAAAATGCAAGTTCAAACTATGGTGATGTAAGTGTACGTGCTTGGACTCACAATGCCTGCAGGCAGTAGCCTGTGCCTTGCTTTGCAATCCAGCAGCCTGCTTCCAAACGGAAATAGCTTTGTTTGAACCCCTCAGTGCTGTGGGAATATGTTCTTTACATAGTCTCAACTTCCTCAAGACACAGAATGGAAAAAAAGCTCTCCCTTCTTGCCCCTCAAACCACCAGGAAGCTGGAATCCAACTGAATTAATTTGATTCCGGTTATTTTCAGGAGATGTCAAAACTAGTTAAACGCTACTTGAATTAGAGAAGAAGGGGTCCTTTCAATTTCAGCAAAAAAAAAAAATAATTGAGCAAATTTTATACAACAGACAGCACCAAACTTCAAAACAGCTCACAGTCAAAGCTAATACAAATTCCTTGCCGTCTATTTATTCTAAGCTGCTCTATGAGACCATCGCCCTGCTGCCCCGCAAGCCCCCTAGCCCCCCAAGTTACATGCACTCCCTGGAACTCACCTTCCCCATCACATCTATGCATAGAACACAGATGAAGCTACAGGGAGGGGCTCTCCTCGTCAAAATGCTTCTAAGTAGCCTAGCTTTAAAATGAATTCTCTCTCTCTTATGCCAGAACATAAGGACCCTCACTGCTGCCTTCCATCTTTGCCAGTCTCCTGCTGCAGTCTTGGCGTCTTCCAATGTCATTTTGATAGCTTTCTATTCTGCTTCTATTGTTCATTTCCATGTTAAGCTTGATCTACCTTGTTGCCTCTTGCTCTGGGGGTTCCCGTCTAATGCCTGTCTTGTTATGTTGTTTGGGTCTTTCCTCCATGTATGTACTAGTCACCTCCATTTTCATTCCATAATATCCTGTCCTATCAGTTTCTGTTTTGTCCTCCTCCAGATTTCTTTGTTTGTGATTTTTTCTGGCCATCTGCTATTGAAGATTTGTCTCAGTCAGCTGTTTATGAACAGTTGGAGTTTAGACAGCAATGTTTTAATAAGTCTCCAAGTGTCAGCACCATCCAGTAAGACCAAGTTTACAATGGCATTAAATATTCAAAGTTTAATTTGGGAGGGCAAGATTTCTGTTTCTCCAGATTAGCTTTATTGTTACAAATGGGTGTCTGGCTTTCACTAGTCTGGCTTTAATATTTTCATCTGTTCCATCTGCTGCATTTACAATGCTGCCAAGTTACGTGAAATATCAGACCTCTTCTATTTCTGTTCCAGAAAGTGTTATCGGTGCTTCTTGTGTGTTGATTCTCACGGTTTTAGTTTTCTCACTGTTGATTTTAATCTGTACTAACTGTGCACAGACCCGGAGATCATTTATTTTGGCTTGCATGTATCTGAGTATAGGATAGCTAGCTGATGTCATCTGCAAAGTTGAGGTCTTCTAACTTGTGTGTGTATATCCCTTGGTGGTTCTGTTTACTTTATGTTAATTTCCGCCCCCAAAACAGTCAGCAGAGAGCAATGGTAAGTCCTGTCCATCCTCCCAAAACAACCAGGTTCATTTAAAATTGATAAAAGTCCCTAAAGGTGCCCATCCCATAACTACAGAGACAATACAATAGAAAAGACTGGCCAGACGCATAAATATCCTTCAAACCTCTCCCCAAGGGCCATGGTTTTTTCGGGGAGAGGGTGGTCACCAAACCAAGTGATGATAAAAAAGGTCCGGCATGTGTGCATAAGGCCAAACTGTTACATGGCTTTAAAAATTCCTTAACCCTGGACTTAGCCATAGAATGGTCCAATCACACCTTTTGTGAAGTCTATGAGGCAACCGTTGAGAAAAACAAGTACAATACGAAGAGGAGACGAAAGTTACGTACAATCGAAGAATTAAAGAATGCAGATGCTTTGTGTAAGAACATATGTCTCTATTCCTCTCCCCTCCCCCACCTTTTACTGCAGGGTGTCATTTTTCCCCATTAATGCCATTGTGGATGCCTCACTTAACCAGACCACTGAATGGAATAGTCTTGAATTTCTATCTAACCAGTGAGACGCTTAGCAATGAATTACAGAAAAAGTAGCCACTTAATATTGTTTGGCAACATTCAACCAATATCCCTAATAAGCACAAGCTCATAGTTAGTTGATATAAGTGATAGTTGGCTGCAAGAGCCTAGTATTGAAGTTGGAGCTTTGACTGTTTCAAATAACTATGTAGCTTATGACAGCAGTAAAAAAAATAAGACAAGTTAGCCTGCTACAGTCTTCAACATTTACTGTGATTCATTAAACCAGCTTTGAATAAGTGCTCTGGTCTTATCTTATTTTGTAAAGTGCTCAAATATAGAGAATGTGAGCATTTTGCTATTAGGTTGCCTGGTAATCAGATAAGCAGTCTCTTCCCAGTTGCTTTTAAAGTTCACTTCAAGTGGTTATTGCAGTAAATTCAGCTATTTGTACGTACACTCAGCCAAATGGGTTTGGTTGATATATCTGTCCATTTAGGCATCAGTTTGGATTTGGTTTTTATTTGAAAAAAAAAAACAACAACTTTTCTTTGCAGCTCTAAAGGCCACAATTTTTAAATGAAAACTTACATTTTGTAGAAACTGATGACTCACATGCTCACCACTTCACTTGAGTGAACAGGGATCCCAAAGGCTGGAATTACATCATGGAGCCCAAGAGGGACCTAAAGGATCTGGTTGACATGGAGATGGAGATTTCATCTTTATTGCTACTAAGGAAAGATTTTTATTCCTTTATTGGGGGAAACCGTCTCTTGGGCAGTGTTTTTGATAGACAAATGAAAAGATAATTTTTTTTTTTTTAAATAAAGACCAAGAGTAATATCAGTTTAACAACAGATGAGTGTATCTTAGGTATTATTTCATGTGTTGGAAGGGGAATGGACAATCCAAAAACACACTGAACTCTATCTTCTATGACTTAACTAAATATTAATATAATATGGGTGTACATCAGACCATGAAAATTCTAGTCACTCATTATAGCTAATAAATTATCTTATTGGTTCAGAGTAAAAGCATTAAAAGAAGCAAAAAAACAGCATCAACGTTTATATATAAGAATAGCGATTCCTTTTTGGACTGCTTTCAGGAAAGTGTTCAGATATATCGTTAAGTCCAACAAACAGACCATTTAATACTCTGTAAAGAGATTTGAAAAGTCAAATATACAAGGAGTCACGCTTTGCTTATAATGGTTACATATGGTTATATAGTCATATCCCTTTGCAACAGGCTTATTTCAAAAATACTACTCTGAGAAGTAGTCAATATATTAACTTTGCTCTTGTTTTTTCCCTAGGATATGAAGACTCTCCCCTGAACGTTATGACTTAAATTGGGGGGGTTTATGTTTGTTTTTTTCCCTAAATAAAGCTAAATTATTACAGAAGGAAGAGTTCTGCTGGCTAACTCACTAATACAGAGGTTGTATTCTAAATGAAGTCTCATTGGTTACCAACAGGAATTGAATCTTATTTTGCCAATTGAAGAAGTGACCATGTTACTATTTGTTAACAGGGAAAGTTTAAAAACTACCAGTGAGACATATTACCTTAGAACACAGTGAGACATACTTATTGACAA